ACACAAGTAATTGCACAATACACATTATATCCAAGTCATTGTTTTCGTTTTACTTTTAAATATAAATTGCTCGAGTCAGTTTTTTGCGCTGATTCCAAAGATGTTATTAATTGTGGCTCAAGTGGTAGCTTTTATGATAAAAATCTCAATTTTCAGATTTAAGGCCTTATACGTCCCACTTTCTTTATTTTATTTCTGACAAATTAAAGCACTTGCTAGTCAAGACTAATCAATTGTACCATCAATTTCAGTTAATTATACACTCATTTAGAGCCAATTCTATACCGGTTTCAGACCAATTCTAAGCCAATTCCAGAGTAATTCCAATTCCAACCAATTCCAAGCCAAGAATTGGAATTGAACTGGTTGGACTTGGAATTGGTGCATCCCTAATCCAGTCTAGTGGCTACAACGGTTGTAATTTTATTATGCCTCATCAGAAATGTTCTGAATTAGCAAAGGCTTTTATGATTCGTTGCCAAAATTCTTTTGGCAATAATCCTTTTATTTTCTACAATCCATCGATGGTGGTATGGTGTGTTTCTTAAATATTTTCATCCCTATCGGTGCGGTGGGCGTGTAGACGTTAAAGGACATGTATAGTACTTTGACGACACAATCCAGTATGCCGAATTAAACCATCTCTTTTGACTCCAGCATATACTATTTCGACTTCATCTACTGGAATTCCCGTCTTATCACTAATGCGTTGTTTATACCTCAACCAATTTTCCCATTTACCATATGGAATTTCGAAAGTTTTGGCATTTTTTATGCTTTTTTTTACAAATATCACAGATTTATGTTGATCGCACAGACGGTTGCCAACCGTATATAAACTATTCATAGCACATGGAAATAGAGGAACGGAAGGTAGCGCAGGTGATGGTTTATATGATTCATAGATGTCGTGAAGAACAGAATCTTCTTGATTCATATTTGATATTTAATATGATCACAGTAGTATATAATGATAATGAAGAAAAACTTCAAACTGAAAACGAAGGTTTTTGTAAGGATCCAAAAGTAATACCTACTTCGTAATGTAATCTTTTCCAAATTAAACGTCCAATGAAGAGATTGCGATGCAAATGAGAAAAGAAAAAATCTCACTGAATTGCAATGACTCAAGAATGGTGCAATAGGAAACCTGCTCGAAAATGAGTAATCAAATGAATGATTAATGCTACCTATGAGTCCTATTTGGATTTGTTAATTTTATCACTCGGTCCTTCTAGGAGCAAATAAGTTCTATCATGGTACATTCAATTAGAGTTCAGATATTTTGTACGAGCGAATCCGCCCAAAATATCCTGCATTGCTCGCAACTATATTTAAAAGTAAAACGAAAACAATGACTTGGATATAATGTGTATTGTGCAATTACTTGTGTACCACTGGTATATTGGTATCAAAAGTTTTGATGTTCACTGTGGATGTCATTTTCTCCATCATAATAAAAAAATGTAGCTGAACAGGCATCATACTATTTTCGTCATCTGTATTTCAGTAATGTCGAAATTCATATGAAATAATTTAAAAGAACTTCGAATGGCGTCACCGTTACTTGCCTTTCACCTCCCTGGCATTTAGTAACAAAAGTATCGACTGTACAATCATGAAAAACGTAGAGAAAAAAGAAGTTGCGCAACTTTAGAGAATTCCAACTTACAAATATATAAATGGCGCATCCACTCGCTTTGCTTATCACACTTTCATATTCTCAACACATTAAAAAAGGATATGACCGAACGCTGTCCAGCTCCAAGTCGCGTGAAATGTAGCTGGTGCCACTATAATGCTACAGGCCGTTGTGACCATTGCCATGCGCGATTTGAATCTAGTTGTTTCAGAGCACATGTACAAACATGTTCTGGAGCCAGAAATATCTCAAGTGGAACGCTCTATCTCATACCTGAATGCCAATTTTGTAGCAATGATTCAAGTGGGAAATGCAGCGGATGCAATGAATCTGTATGCGATTCTTGTTTTCAACGAGATCATCGATATCATAGAGTATATCGCACGACGTCTAACTCATCATCATGCATTCTTAGTTGAGATTTTATGTTACCCATTCAACTATACTCTTATTACTTTGTAAATCTCTACATATATATATATATATACATTATTTATTTTCTTAATACACTGAAAAATTAAATGATACCATTCTATAGTATGATTAGTTGGAGATGTGGGCGTCGGGAAATCTTAAGTGCATCAACCCAAGCAGGCGCTAAAATACATACGATGAGACCTAAAAAATGTGAAATATATATACAGTGCTACCCAAAAGTCCACCACCTGAGGGTGCTAATGTGGGCGTGGGTACATTAAAGAAGTGATATTTGTACACTCAAGCCCACACCCACACCCAAAAAACATCGAAGAGCTATAGAAAGATTAAATATATAAAATAAAGATTAAATATATAAAATAAAGATTAAATAGTCATATAAAAATTAAAATATTTGCGCCATGTGCACTATAGTACGTATTATACTAAAAAGTATCTCTTTTGAGAATAAGTCATTTGTTAATTCTCGTGGACAGCAGCCGTAATAATCGATCTGGAAATTGTTGGTATTGATATCATGTATGCCACAAGATACATGATATATATTAAAGAGAGCAAAGTCCACTTTTTTATTGATGTGAAAATAAGAGAAAAAAAAAGGTAGGACAAGAATAAATCAGCTTACACTCTAAAAAAAGGTATTCTACGAAACTTATAAAGGATCTTCCGCCGGGTACACGGGAAAATTCTTTGGAGGTTCCGGAAAAACACGGGTTTAGCAGGATGTGGGGTGTGGGTGTGGGTGTGGAGGTTGATCTTCCTTGAAAAACCCACACCCACACACCCTCAGGTGGCTGAGGATGTGGGTGTGGTATACGGGACTGCTCGATTAGTTTAATACCAATGTAGCCATACCCATACCCGTTTTTCTCGTCGTCAGCCACAACAACACACTGCACCATTCATAAATTGGATGTAAAAGAAACAAAATAAATAATAAAATCGAGCGATGGACGATGCATGAAAAAAAACTGGAATGGTTGATGTTGTAAAAATAGTGTATGACTCTGTTACAGTGACGTCGCTAGTATACACACTCGACATATATGTATTATCCTCTATCATCTTCTTTAATCTCCATTTGTCATTTCTCTTTTCTCCTCTCTCTTCTCTTGTCGTTCTCGCTATATATTTCATGTAATATAGAATTAAGGACATTCTTGTTAAATAAAGTTAACGTACACGTTGTACGTACACACATACTTCTCTCGCATTTATTTCTCACTCTAACAGGCTCATTCAGTTGACTATTTTTTTTAGTAAACGCAAACATAAAAGTAAGGAGTCGAAATATGATGTTCACAACTGAGAGTGGCGTATTTCCTATATCCATTGTGAAGTTTGGCACAGTTTCAATTAGCTTTTGCCGAAAAATTGTAAAATGATGTCGCATTTTAAAATGTCTTTCTTGCTTGTCACTGGTTTAGAGAAAAACGTATAGGATTTTTTGAATTTCTATCAAAGTCGATAGGAAGTATAGCTTCTGTTATACGTTTTATTTTCAAGTACAAAAGAAAATTCTGCCTCTATTGGTCTCTTGGTACACAGAATAAAAGCATATTTTAAAAATGCAGACATTGTGCCCGTATTCGATATATGAAATGGAATATGAATCACGGAAAGAAATACACCAGTCTCCGATAATAGCGCTGCAACATATGTCGTCTGCTGCCGAATGTCAAAATGTTCTAACGGACTCCAGGTTTGGAAGGTTGCCGATTGAAATTATATTTGAAATATTTAAAAATTTGTCTATTTCATGACCTATCAAATGTACGAATGGTTTGTCGAAAATTTAAAATAATTGCGGACCACGATGCATTATGGAAGAACAAGTGTAAGAGTAAGTGTGATCCTATCTTTAACGATTCCATTAATCAAATTTCTGTTTTTCACCCACATAATAGCTGTAGTTCATGATATAAAAGATCGTTGCAATCTGATTTTCTGTTCGTAGCGTCTGACGTGGAAAATGTTGTACACCTCAAGTTAAAACGATAAAAAAAATGAACCGTTTCCTTTTGCTGGCTTTCTCATCTAATGTGGAATAATCATTTCAAGATAAAAGTATTCAGACTAGAGAAATATACTTAGGACATACAGAAAGTTAACTTAATGGAAAGCGCGAATAGATTTTGCTTTTTATTTAGTAATAGAGAAAGCTATGCTCTATTTTTCCGTGATATTTGATCACTCTTGAATTAATATCATAGTACAGCAGCATGTTGATAGGAACTGTTTTTGTATAAAACTTTACTAATACTGGAGGTAGATTAAATGGCCCCGTTTTACATTTTGGTTTTCAATCGTTTGATAGGTTGTATTAAAAAAAATATACCACAAGATGCAGTGTGAAAAGTTCTACAAGTTAATAGCCAGAGTTTATTTTGTATGTGAAATAATAAAAAAGAAATTTCTCTTTGTCTGGAAAAAAGTTATTTTGGTTTTTTTGAGTAGGAAAAAATGGTCACACACGATTTTACGTTTTTTTGAAAACAAGAAGTACACAATTGTAATAAATTTTGCTTCATACATCGTAGACCTTTTCACTCTGCATCTTATGATCTATTCTGTTTTTTTTAAATAAACAATATCAGGTGATAAAAAGGCGAAATAAGAAAAAACGAAATTGTCTTGTAGCAAAAAAGAAAATATCGTTTCATATCGTCGGAAATGGGTCTCTCGAAATTTTGTTCATTTTGAAAACAAAAAACTAAAACTAGAGCGTAAGTGATTTTATGAAAATTGGAAAACTTGTTACGCTGCATCTGATGATATATCATTTTCTTTTTTATACAATATATTAAGCGATTGACAACTAAAATCAAAAGTGTGACCGTCTAATTTGTCTCAAATATTAGTGAGGTTGTAATTACACAAAAACAGTATTTATGGAAATCTTATTATTACGATATTAGTGGAAGGATGATCAATTAGCATAGAAAAATAGAGCATTATTTTCTCTATCTCTACATGAAAAAGCAATATTTTTTCAACCTTTGCATTAAGTAAATGTGCTCACAGGCTTTACCGGTGCTTAGAATTTTAAAAAAAACTGCCATAACGACGAAATATTTCATTACTCCAACATTATTATTCTCTGAATCAGTGCTAGAATCTAGTACATACTTATAGATGATCACATGATTAATAAAATGTTGGTGTCTAATTAGGGACTTCAATTTAGGCATTTTTCAATAAAAGATATAATGTACTACATGCTTACATGACAGTTCATGATTTCATGATTTTTGTTTCATCTTCAAAGTCGAGTGCCAAGACTAGTTTCATTTTCAAAACTGGATCTGATGATTTATTCTTTTCGAATTGACTTACTGCATCACGACGCGGTCATGCATTATGGAATTTCATTTTTTACAGAATTTCCCCAATTTTATTTTTATTTTTTGGGGATAGTTTCGTGCGTATTTTTTCAGTCATAGCGCTACTCAAAAAGTTATTATTTGCACATAGTTTCGTAGTGTGAGGTGCCTTCTACCTGATACCGCTAAAAATTATGTTCCAAAATTAGATAGATTCACCCAAAGATATTTGCAAAGGATGGGATTCGTAGAGAATTTGATTGTCTATCAGTATAAGGTAGTTTTCAGGATTTCAGAGAAAAACTCATGTCATAAAATCAAATTTAAAAGAGAAACCTTTTAAAATTTGAACTCTCATCATGGGAATGCGACTGTAAATTATTTTTGAGCAGAGATTCGTAATCAGCGCTAAAAACGGGACGAAATCATGTATTGTAAACATTCTATTGGTTCGTAAAAAATCTAACTTTCTCCATCGAAGGGTGACCGATGGCTGACCACGCCGATCAGTGAATTCTTATGTATCTCTCATAT